GGCGAATGGCTATTGCAACTTTAGTCACCGCTAAAAATCACTCAAAAAATTTTGGGGGCAATATTTTGGGAAGTTTTGCCGACTTTTATCGCCGCTAAAGATTTAGTTTTTTATGGTGAATCCTAGTTGGCAACGCTTAGGTGGAGGGATTAGTCTCATGTGGCTTGCCCGTAACTAAAAAATTAGGTTGTTAACTCTTAAGGGTATTTATGTTTTCTTAGGATAACGGTGGAGGCATTTTTGATCCAAAAATATAACGAATGGTATAAATGATCTATTTTACATAGTTCAAGAGTAATTTTAATCATTTTCCGAAAAAAGAAATTAAGACTGGAAACCATGTTTGATCTTTCAATTTGCTCAAGAATCAAAATTCAGGTGAAGGGAATGCCAAATACAAATTCAAATTTCAAAAATTCAAATTTTCAACTTTTAATTTTATTATCTATGACAAAATGGAAAAGCGAATTCAGGTAAAGCATGAGTCTTTTTTTTGCAAAATTTAAATGATGAATCTTTTTAACAAAATATAAACTTATGAATCAAGTTTTACATTTAAAAAAAATGGAAAATCACAATTTGAGATTTGAAATCCTACTCTTTGAAAAAATTGGTATATGAAATTAATGTTGAAATTTTATGCAATTTTTATAGAAAAGATTAGTAATTTCAAATTAAAATTTGAAAATGAGTCTCAAATAGTAAAATTCTGTGGTCAAATGCCTAGAAAATAGAGTAGACAAAACTAGATTCATATGATCTTTACCAAGAACTCAGCAAAAATGAATGTGGACGTCTTTTCAGCTTTCATTTCACGTATATATAATAAAATAATAACATGATTTTACACTTACATTAGTCAAGAATAGATAAAAACATTTTTCAAAAATCAAATATGAGTTCTTTCAAGCACAAAATTCTTTACTTCGCATTCATCTTTTTACTTAATCTTGTTACAATAAAGAGTTCTCCGTTGCCTACAAAACTTGAATCTTATTGGTGGACGCCTAGATTTGAAGTCCATATCAACAACACCCTCCCTACTAATTCAAATCCTCTAAAACTTCGTTGTAAATCTGCAGATGATGATCTTGGTGATAGAGTGCTCTATACAAATCAAGAGATGGAATTTCATTTTAATGAACATTTTTTGGGCGGAACACTATACTTTTGTCATTTTTATTGGGACTCTAAAAATACGAGTCATGATATTTTTAATGATAAAATAGCTGATAAATGTGGTTTGGAAAGTAAGAGTTATTCATTTACTTTTATCTATGGATGCTATTGGAAGATACAAGAGGATGGCTTTTATTTTAACTCTCAGGAATTACCACAACCTGATAAACAATATACAAAAATATATGGGTGGTGATGACAAGTAAAATGTAGTGCATCATCTACTTCAATATCGATACACAAATAAATGCAAGAAAGAAGTGAAAGGATTTGCGATACTATTTCTCGATTCCTTTTTGACTATATAATCACCTTTGTTTTAAATTTAGCGATATTTCAAAATTATGATAGCTCCGCCTTCTCTCTAATATATTTATTTTATTTTATACTCGAAGATTTCATAGCTTAGTAGCAAATGTCTCATATATATAAGTGGGAAAATGAAAAAAGAAAGTTTTACGTGTGTCAAGAAACTTTATCTAGTACAACAATAAAGTCATAATGTTTTTTTGTCAATATGTAACGATAACTGAATTTTTCCTACTATGACAAATGGACAATAGAGTCATTTGAATAGGTAGATTGAGATTGACCAATCTTAAATATGTCATTACAAATTGACAATATTAGAGTTTGTAATATATATTACTATATATAATAATAAATATATAATAAGTGGGAATATCTACTTCTTAGCACATGACAAGTGTTGGATGATATGTGCTTGATAGTGTTGTACATTCTTCTTTTATGATTGTACCTTTAAAATTTATATATTGGACAATTTAACACCATTAATTACCTACTACTTTATTAGCTAAAAAGTTTGACCTCATTTGGGCCCATTTATTATTTATATGATTTCAATTTTCAATATATATTGTCTATCTAATTCTTTTTTTCAACCTTTTAATTTAAACTTCTTGAAATTTAATTACCTATTTATTACTCTCTCTATGCACTTTTAATTGTTATGATTTCCTTTTTTAGAGTCAAACTATAAGAATTTTAACTAATATTTTACAATGTGTTTTTTCATCATATTCATAGGCAAAAAATTACAATTTATAGTACTTTTTGTATAGATTTTGCATATTTTTTTTTTTTTTAAAATATCGAATTAATACAATCTGATTTAACTTTGAAAATTAGTCAAATGGACTTTCAAAAAAGCGCAACATGACAAATACAAGTGGACGGAGAGAGTATATTTAACCTACAAAATATATTAGAGGTACAACTTTTTAAAAAAAATAAACTTTTATTGCGTTGACTCTTGAAATCTTATCATTGTCATATGAATTTGAACAAATTATATATTATTAAAAGTTACATAAAAGATGCTATAAATCACAATAATTAGCAATTAAAAATATTTTAAAATCATATAAGAAATTTGGTTGACTAATTGGAATAGAGTAAGTAACATGTACTATTTGAAAATAACGTCAAAATTTCTATAATTCACAAAAAATTAACAACTGAAAATATTTATGATTATTCACGTGAATTGAAACATGATTAACCTATATTATTCAAAACTAACGCAAGAATACTATAAATCACAACAATTTAATAACTTCAAATATATTTTTAAGAAAACATATAAAAAATCGACTGATCTTCAAATTCCATTTATATCACATAAATTAAAACAAAAAAAATAATATTTATTGGGCCCGTGCTGGCACGGGAACCAAATATCTATATATATGTGTCACAAATGGAAAAGTCTCAATCAAGGAAGCAACATATATCATTTACAAATGACTTAAAAAGCATTAAAAATTACAATAATTACCAATTTAAAATATTTAAAAGCTATATAATACAATACGTTGACTCTCAGAATTCTATCAGGCTCACATATATTGGGACAGAAAAAATAACACATATCATTTTAAAATTACCAAAAAAGTATTATAAATAATAATAATTAACAACTTAAAATATCTGAAAGACATTTTAAAAGTACGTTATTTGAAGTTACATAAAAATATTATAAATCACAATAATTAATAACTTAAAACATTTTTTTTTAAAATATGAAAATTTGGATGACTCTCCAAATTTCATTTGTGTCACATAAATTGAGACAACAAAAATAACATATATTGGGTCCATTTTAATTCATTTGTCTTATTTTTATATTTAAAAATTGCGTAAAAATACTATAAATCATGATAATTGACAACATAAAATATTTCAAAAATGTTGTATGTGAGTAGTCTTATTATGCCTTAAATAGCGTCAAAGAAAGTACAGGTTTGTGATAAAAAAAACTTATTCCTTTATCCACGCAAACAATCGCTTCAAAAACTCGATTATTAGCCCCAAAACATCCATTTATAGCACGGGCCACATTATCTAGTATATATATATATATATATTATATATGAAGTGACTGTCATATAACGGAAGACGTTAAATATCAAAAGTCTTGGTATTTAAAACTTAGAATTTAGATGAATATGTTTGTTAAAAAAAAATATGGACATTCAAAATAGTCATTATGCGACAGGCAAAGCAGAATCATTTGACAGTATCAATAGGTTCAACAAGATCCAATAAAACCATAAAGAAGGTATGAATTATCAAGTGTTGTTGGATAGGTTTGAAGAGGAAGACAAGAGAAAATTACTCAAGTTACTTTGATGGGCAATCAATTCTTTTTTAATGCATGCTTTGTAATAGAAAGTTTGAGGTTGATAACTCAACTTTCTTGTTGATTGGCATATTTTTACATTATTTAAGCATCCTCATTTGTAATATCATCATGGAGTGTATTACAAACTCTGTGGTGATCAGAAAATACTTAATTCTATCTAGTTCTTATTTTCTTCATGCTTGTTAGGTAGCAGAAGTTAGGTATTTTATTAGGATTAGTAAGGTAAGACATAGTCCCCCTTGCTTGTACTTATCCCTATTGATATTTTTTTTATGTTTTAAAAAAAAAGTTAAACTTCAAAAAAAAAGAGTCATTATTCTAAGTTCTAACTCTATAATTTTTATGCAAATTTTACAGAAAAATATCAATTTCAAATAAAAACATGAAAATGAGTCTCAAATCCTATGATCAAAAAGTAAATGGAGTAGACAAAATTAGATTTATGTGACCAAATTCATCAGCAAAAATTAATGTGGTCGGATTTTGAGTTTTCTTTTTCAGGGTATATATAATTAGTCAATAAGAAGATACAATCATTTCAAGAATCAAATATGAATTCTTTCAAGAACAAAATTCTTTTTTTTCTCATTCATCTTTGTACTTAATTTTGTTACTATAAAAAGTCTTCGTTGACTTCGAGACTTGGATCTTATTGGTGGACACCTAGATTTGAAGTCCATATTATCAAACACCATTCCAACTAATTCCAATCCTCTAAAATTTCATTATAAATTTGTAGACGATGATTTTGGTAATAAAGTACTCCACCCAAATGAAGAGTTCAAATTTCATATAAATGAACATCTTTTTGGCGGAACATTATACTTCTGTCATTTTTATTGGAACTCTTATGATACGAGTCATGGTATTTTTATTGATAAAATAGCTGATAAATGCGGTCTAGAAAGAACGAGTTATTTGGTTTCTTTTATGCATAGATGCTATTGGAACTTGGAAGGTACAAGAGGATGGCTTCTATTTCAACTCCCAGGAATTACCAAGACCTAATGCACAATATGAAAAGTCATATGAGTGGTGGCAAAAATAAAATGTAGTGCATCTAGTTCGACATCGATTAAGAAATAAATGCAAGAAAAAAGTGAAAAGACTAGCTATACTATTTCTCGATTCCTTTTTATCTGTATAAATCACCTTTGTTTTAAATTTAGCAAGATTCAATATGTGGATTTTATTGTTCAAAGAGTTCATAGTTTAGTAGCAAATGTCACATATACAAGGGGAAAAATGACAGAAAATTTTTACATGTGGTCAAGGAACTTTATCTAGTACAAAAACTTAAATGGAGAATAAAAAGGCAAACATGGCCATGCAAAGACAGAGGATAGACCTGTGTAGATTCTCATCGAGCACCCTAGACACGTTGAGTGTTTTGATGTTTCATATGTAGACTATAGTTCCCGGAAAAGGTTGTTCAGTACCCAAACAAGGCCGGAATGGGGATGACCTCTTTCACTTGTAGTAAAACTTAATCTGCAAAAGGAAATAAACTTTAGAGCAACCGTTGCAATGCATTCGAGTCATTGTTGAGAGCACCAGTTGAATTACTTATTCCTATCTGGTCAGTCTGTGCATAAAAATAACTTCAAAAAACAAGTAAATTTTCTCATTTCTGAAGTAGAGACTTACTTAAGTCCTGAATAGTCGTCTGCACCTCACTAGCTCTAATGTTTCAAGAGAAGTAAGATTTCCAAATCTATCAGGAAGAGTTTTGATTCCAAAATCATTTATTCCGATTTCTGTTAGGGAAGAAAGTTGCATAACCTGATAGGGCAGAGAATCCCATTGCCTATTCCCATACACCTCTAATTTAGGAAGGGACGATAGCCGCTGAATGCCATTAAATATCAATTGGAATGCCTCAAAATCCACCGTCTCTGAGAAAGGTCCAATGCACAATTCCTGTAATCCAGTGAGACGGTGAAGACCCTGTGCAGGTACACTATCCAATTTGAGGCATTTTGATATATTCAAATATGAGAGTGAAGGCATTTCCCACACATGTAAAGGGAAGGAAACTAAGTTGTTACATTTGTTGACCTTCAAAGATTCCAAAGACCGACAACGCTCTAGCATTTCACTTGGTAAACTGGTTAAGGCATCACAATTGGACAACTCAAGACTTTGGAGCGAAGTAAAATGATTCTCTCCACTGGGAACAGGAAAGGAACTGAAATTGTTGCAGCGCTCAATCCTTAAGCTCTTAAGAGAACGGAGATTGTATAAACTTTGTGGCAATTCGCGAAACTCTCGGCAATTTAAGACCAGTAGATGTTCAAGAGAAACATTGTTACGTAGCATCTCATCTGGAAAACAAGTGAGCTCTTTCACATCATCCACAATAAGATCTACGAGAGATGTCAAGTTGCTGCACAAGTTCAACAACGGCATTTCACTGTTAACTCTTTCAATCGCTACTTCATGCAGGATTTCAAATTGATTTGGAGTACTTTTTAACAGTGGACATCTACTAATCCTCAACTTCTTCAGTACTATAGTAAGATGTATTCGTTTGGGGAATGAAAAGCTTGGAAAACTAAAAGGAGAAATAGAGGCTAACACAAGTCCTGAATTTTCATGAACCCAACGTTAATAACTAAAATATGAGAAATGTTGGACCACTGGGAGTTTCGGCCACTCCTATTATTGATAGAACTTAATTCTAACTGAGCACAGCCTTTAATTCCCAGGTACCGCAATTTGGTGAGGCATCACATGGAATATCTGGATGGCAGATGCTCTAGTTTTCCACACTTCGATGAAAATAACTGTTGCAAATTAAAGAAACAAGGTTCACGGGCCCATCCAACATAGCTTAATCCTAGCAATCGACAGTCCTTGATCTTCAGATAATGTAATTTGGGCATGGCATCTAAAAGTCCAGATGGTGTAGCCATTTGCAGCTCACTAGCATTAATGTTTCAAGAGAAGAACCTCAATTCCAAATTCAATTATCTGATTCCCATCGATGCTTAATTCACGCAGCATTTCAAATTGATTCGGTATACTTTTTAACAGTGGACAGTTAATAATCCTCAACTTCTCCAGCCCAGGAAACATTCTTACTCCAACTCTGTCGCTACCATCATTTCCTGTTGATAACAACTGCACTTCCTTCCACTCAGTAAGTCTAGGCATATTCCACAATACTAGTTCTTTGAGTAACGGGAACACTTGGATATTGGTGTTATTATTGCTTGATCCATTATTGTCAACTTCAACACCATAAAATGTAGGTCCAATACATTCCAACTCATGGAATCCTATCAGCTCAAGATGCCGAAGTAGTTTAAGTTGGCCAAGCGATGGAATTTCCTTGCACTTTCTGCAACCACTTAATTTCAACTCGACCAAATTTGGTAACAATTCTTCACTGAACCATGACGGAAATCTAGTCCCCAAATAGTTCACTACCACTAAATTTTTCAAGTTAGTATGCGGTTGAAGACCATCCAAAACATACTCATCATTGACCTCATAGTCTTCTGATTCATCATGGGACCATAAATATGCCAACTTGGAGATATTTGGTTTCTCCCATAGACATGCTTTTACAGCTTCTTCTCTATTACAGACCAATTGAAGATCTCTAATCATCAATTCACCTCTAAGGTTCTTCAAACAACCTAATTCTTCTATTCGACGACCTTTCTCTGAACCTACCTTGAAAAACTGTAGTGTTTGAAGACAAGTCAATTGTCCTATCTTAAGTGGCATCTGAAAGTTCTGATTGCCGAAACACCATTTTCTAGAGTCTGATCTGAAATCATTGCTGTAATATATGTGTCTCAAACTTATCATATTCGCCATTTCATCTGGAAGCTCCTCTAGTAAAAAGCAGTTACTTACCCTAAATGTTTGCAAATTGTAGAGCTTGCAAATGGAGTTAGGCAAGGCTTTGATATTAGTATTGGAGAGATCAAGATATCTCAAGTATATTAGTTTGCCAATTGAGGCTGTCAACCCCTTGATGCCTGACCTGGAAAAATTTAGAACTCTCAAGAACTGAAAGCTCAATAGAACATCTTTGGATATATTGTTTCTCGAGAACAATGTGCATATACGTCCTGGCTCATTTATCATATCAATTTGATCACTTGGTGAGTCCCATCCAAAGTATCGGGCTTGAGAAAGATTTTCTCCTCCAATACTCTTTTGATCAAATAGTTTAGATTTTAAAATATCTCCAGCCAAATCATGCACAAGATCATGCATCTTACAGTATCTTATATTGTTGTGCTCATCTAGCTCAACATCTTGCAGCAAGGAATATTGCAACAAAAGTTGAAAATACTTGTTCCCAACGTCTTCCATCACAGGAGTCTCTTGACATGGACGAAGAAATCCTTCCGCCATCCAGAGTTGGATTAGTTGGTCCTTTCCAAACACAAAATCTTTTGGAAACATTGCAAAGTAGGCAAAGCATTTTTTCAGATGTGGAAATGGTAAATAATCATAGCTAAGTTTTAGGATTTTCCTTAAGCTATTTTCCCCATTATCATTTTCACCCGCAATAAGGGGGTTGCCATCAAGAATTGCCTGCCATTCATGTCTTTCCTTGTTGCGTAAAAGGCCTCCCAACACACTTGCAGCCAACGGTAGACCTTGACATATTTCAACAATCCTGCTTTCCATGCTCACCATTTCTTCTGGAACCTCCCCATCAACAAAAGCTCTTTGTTTGAAAATGGACCAACAATGATCTTCTGTTAACTTTCCCAACACACGAACATCTACCGCTACAGTGGATGCCACTTGTTTCATGCGAGTAGTCACGAGAATGCAATTTCCTCTAGAAGTGTTTACTCCTCTCAAGCTATCCACAAACTCATCCCATACCGGAAGGTCAACACGCCACAAATCATCTAAGACAAGCAAATACCGTTTTCCACCTAGTTCATCTCGGAGTTTCTTGACTATTATATCCCTGGTCTGGACCTCAAGTTTCCTCTCTGTCAATGATTGGAGGATCTGTTCAAGAAAGCTCTTAGTCTCTGACATTTCAGGTAGACACAACCACACTCTCTTCTCAAAATGTTTTTCGATCTCTTCATCATTGAAAATTCTCTTAGCTACAGTAGTTTTCCCTAAACCTCCCATCCCCACTACGGGAATGGTGCACAGAACAACTTCGTCTCTCATGTTCAACATCTTCTCCTTTATTTCAGCAACATCGTTGTCTCTACCAACGACATCCGAAGCAACTACTAAGGAATCTGTTTCTCGAAACGGTAGTATTTGCTGAGACGAAACTATTAGTGATTGGAGACCGAGGTCTTTGGCTAACTGATTGATAACCCTCAACTCTTCATTGATGTTTTTGATTTTTCGAGACATTTTACTCTTAAAAGCTGTATGAGAAATGAAATCACTGACCTTTCTCATTGGGCTATTTCGGATCTGCATCACTTGTGTTTTGAGAGATTCATATGTGAATTCGTCAAAAACATTTTCAGCATTTTCAGCAACTATCTCAAGCATTTTCACCCATTTTTCCACAGCGTGATCGTCAACTTGTCGTCTTTCAGCATCATTAATGAAAGCTTGAATGATAGATACATTTTGTGTGAGCATTCTGAGATGTTTGTTGCAGTCCCTTGAGCTACTGACTTTCTCAATAGTGAGAGAAAGCAGTTTCTCAAGCACAACTTGAACTGTAGCACCAATTACTGGATCTGCCATTGTTGGGTTTGCTTCTAGTTCTAGGCTCAGTCGACTTCTTCCTTCTTTACCAGAGTCAAAATTTCTCTCTTTCTTTTTCTTTTGTTATCATTCGATACAATATCAATTTGTTTTCATGTGCTATGACTTATGAGTCTTCTGATTCTCTCTCCGCGTTAATTAATTTTGAAATTTGATGAATACTCTCTTTGGTTCAAAAAGTCAAAAGTCTTTCTTTTGAAAGAAGGGAGTACTCTATTTCTTCGAGAAAATGCTATAAATAATTTCTTATTTACAGATTTTAAATGGTTTATATTTAAAAATAATTTATCAAGTTTGATCCATTTTATATATATATTCTTGGGAAAAGGGTCTATATACCCTCTCAACTTTCTCATTTGAAGCTGATATGCCCTCGTTATGAAAGTGACTCATATATACCCTTACCGTTATACAAACGGCTCACATATATCCCTACCATTACAAAATGAGATCACATATACCCTTCATTTAACAAAAGTGAAAAAGTTAGTTCTAAATTTATATTTTTTACTTCTTTTATTATAATTATTTGAGTTTCTTATTCTTATTTTATTTTTTTCTTTCATTTCTTAGTGTAAAGAAAAATAGTTAAAACTATTTTTTTGTGGCTATATTATAATATAAAACTATTTTTTTTTGTTTATATTGTAATTTAATTTTTGTATTTGAAGAAAAAAAATTGGTCATCTTTACAAGAATGTTAGTGAAACATAAATAAATTTGACCATCAAAATAATAAATCTAAATTAGTCATTGAAACAAAAAAAAAAGTTTAAAAAAAATAATATATGTTTGAGGAGGATTAAATATACTCATATGGGATTATATATATATATTTTTAAAATATTAAAAAATTAAACTGAAATTAATTTTTTTCATTTCCGTTAGAGGAAAAGGGTATATGTGAGCTATTTGTATATAAGTAGGGGTTGAGTTACTTTCATAACGAGAGTATATCAACTCTAAATGACAAAGTTGAGGGTATATCAGACCCTTTTCCCTATATTCTTTAAATATTCAATTATCTAATTTACATCGATGCTTAATTCACACAGCATTTCAAGTTGATTCGGAATACTTTTTAACAATGGACAGTTAATAATCCTCAACTTCTCCAGTCTGGGAAACATTCTTACTCCAACTCTGTCTCTATCATGATTTCTTGTTGGTAACAATTGCACTTCCTTCTACTCAGTAAGGCTAGGCTTATTCCACAATACTAGTTCATTGAGTAACGGAAACACTTGGGTATTGGTGTTATTGTTTCTTGATCCATTATTGTCAACTTCAACACCATAAAATGAATACATATCTATCATTATTCTGATGCACATCTACTGCTTAATCTAATAAGCTAAACTTAATTTTTCTTGATCATAGTCTCAAACCAACAAAATATATGTATGTATACCAACAACAACATATTAGTGAAATTCCACAAGTGGGGTCTGGGTAGATATATATAGCAACAAGATATATACTCACTTCTTTATTTTGCATAATACAAATACAATTATCTGCATGAGCAAGTAATGCAATTTCAATTATTGTATGGTACCTAACAGTTTTAGTTTGAAATTTCATAAAATCATGCTATAGTTACACAATAGTGGAAGTTATGCTGATGATGATACCGCAATGGGGCTTCGGACCATATGGACTCCATCACTCCATGTGTACCAACCAAAGGAAAACTCATTTCTACTTACAATACTACTTTGCGCTGTAACTGTTATGTTGAAGCTGTGTTTCTCTGCCAATTTGCTGAAGCGTAAGGTTTTGGGAACAATATCAACAACATATCCAGGAGGTGATCTCACAGCTAAAACGTAAGTCGAATTATCTTTTCCAACATTTGTAACAACTCTTGTGACAGTCATGCTGGATCCTCTCATGTTTGCAATTGCAAGTGATGGATAGTTAAGGTTACTCGCGGCAGGTACTTTCTTAGGACAATTGTACGACGAATCTAGGCGTATGTTTTGACTACAGAGATAGAGAAGATAATCAGTGTACGTAGCATCATAAATGAGTCCAGGATCTACTGCTCTTGATGGCCTGAAATGTCCTGCTCCGTATTCAAAGGGGTTTCCATCATTACCAGTGGCATTTGTGATTGGCCTACCAACCACATTATTGGTTGTTGCTGCAGTAAGAATTAACAACTGTCTGTTAGAAATTCTGTAAGAAAATTTAACTAGGAGTTCAATTTGTTGAAGAGAAACAGAATTACATGTGGTCATTAGAGCAGATCTGATTGCAGCACTACTCCAATCTGGATGAAATGATTTTAAGAGTGCAATTACAGCAGAAACATGTGGGCAAGACATGGATGTTCCAGATTGCATGTTGTACTTAACAACACGACGATCTTCTGGTATTTTCAGGGGAGATGATGCCTCGCTCCACGCTGCTAGTATGTTAAATCCAGGAGCAGTTATATCCGGCTGCAATTTAATGTAAAAGTATTCTTCAGAAAAAGTTCAACTTCTATACACCAACCAACCGACAATAAATTACTCATTTTGTGGCACTAATATGTATTACCTTGAGAATGTTAGGGTCGATAACATTTGGTCCTTTGGAACTGAAATGAGCCATGACGGGTGCTGGCTTAGTACCTATCAATGTCTTCCCTGGAAGAAGTGTTGCCATTGGATTTTTTTCGGATCGTATATACATCAGGATTGTATTTAGGCCATCTAAATAAGCAACTGTTGTGGGATTCAGAAAAGGGGTGACTTGTATCTCATTCTCATTAAATGGATTTCCTAAAATAGCTGCAACACCTCCAGCTCTATTCACTTCCATTGATGCCTGTCTATTACTCCTACTATATATTTATGCAGAGGACAACTTTTCCTCTCACAAGATCTCTTGATAGTGTACCAGGAAGACATTTTCTGGATATGCAAAAATCAACAATGAAATCATCATCGATCTCTATATTTACTAGTACTTTCCACCCTCAACTAATATTTACACTGATTATTGTCCTTTATATATTTCAAAGGAGATGGATGAAAAGGGTAAGAACAGTGACAAAAAAAATGGATAAAGTTGTCTTATGAACATAATGGCCCTAACTGAATGATCGATTTGACGAAGATTTCCATGTAGATCTATGAAAAGTCGAACCAAATGGGAGTCCTAGGTATAGGCAAGGGTGGGAGGGATGAGAGAGCAAGTTGACGTGGGGGGCAAAGGCAAGAACAATTTCAGGCATGATTATCTTATGACAAGGGTCATTTTCTATGAGAATTGCTTTCTTTATTTTTATATTTTAGAAAAAATTACTACAACATGAAATAATAATAATAATAACAAAGTATAATATCATTATATCAATAATAATTAAAAAAGAAGAAGAAGAAGATCTATAGCAAAAATACCTTTAACACAATAAGAATCAAATTTAACACTAGCTAGGGGCATGTTTAGGGGTTCTTTAATTCCAACTTTCTATATGACACGTTTAAAACTTCAAGATTAAAGGGTATTTGATATATTTGACATATCTTTAATTTAAGACCACAAGATTCAAAAGTTTTTGTTACTTTTCTTAACTCTGTCAAGTCAAAAATATGACAACCGATTGAATTGAAACGAAGGGATTATTCAGAAACATTCCACATATGCATATTTAATACAAACAAGATCTGTAAGGATGTTTTATATATATATATATATATATATTTTAATTTAAGATCAAAAGATTCAAAAATATTTTATATTTTTTGAACTCCATGCTACAATAAACTAAGACACATACAATGACGCAGAGGAAGTACTATTTAAGAAATAAAAAAACTACAATAGAATGGAATTTACCCTGTTGTTTTACTTGTTGTAGTTCCTGTAATTTCTACATCTCCTGCATAAACCAATGGATGCAACTTCCTCCTCATTATTGGAGTCACTGTTTCTCCCTATATATTGATAAATTAAACAAAAAAAAAAGAGTCAAAACAACTTTAAAAGCAATTCTTATATAGATGTTAAATATCCCATTTAGAGGAAAACAATTCTTATACAGTATATGTTTTGTCTAACATCTTGTATATTTTTCTCACTATGTGAGCTATTTGTGTAACAGTTGAGTATATATGAGCATGTTTCATAATGAGGGTATATCAACTCTAAGTAACAAAGTTGAGACTTGAGAGGTATATCATGCCTTTTTCCCCTTATTTAAACTCGGATGATTTACAAGTGAATCTGAATATGTTCTTACCTCAACGATGATTCCATTTCCGAGCATAATTGGAGATGAAAAAACTCGATCGATACTACTAGCACCAACTGTGATGATCCATGGTGCTACATTTCCAACAGTAGATGGTGTTGGGCCACTATTGCCAGCACTACAAGCTACTACAATATTTCTCTTTACAGCATTCAAAGATCCAATTGCAATAGAATTCTGTTTGTAATATGTTTTTATAGGTAGAGACCCTAGAGAAATACTAAGTACATGAACTCCATTAGCTATGGCATCATCAAAAGCAGCAAGAATGTCATCTGAAAAGCATGCAGTTCCCTGAGCTAAGGTCTTATTTGGAACTGGCCAACATACTTTATAGATTGCGAGACGAACATTTGGTGCACCTCCAGTAGCTGTACCCATTGCAAATCCACCAATTGCTGATGCATTTGCAACTCTTCGACCACCCACTGTGGCTGCAACATGAGTACCATGACCGTTTACATCTCTAGGTGATCGAAAGTCCCTTGTCTTGTTAAGAGGACCATAGTGTGCTTCGTAACCTTTTAAATAGTATTGTGCTCCAATTAATTTCCTTTCAAAACACAACAACAACAACATAAAAGAACATAAGTGTTACCTTGTTGACTGTCAGTATATATAAGTTAAATTGAAAGCGAAAATAAGGGATGAAATTAAATCATTTCAACCTGTTGCAATGAGAGGCGTTGAAGGCAACACCTTCTTGGCAAGTTCCATTCCATGACTTTGGAACTGGTCCCATTCCTTTATCATTGAAACTTGAAGATTCTGGCCACACCCCTGTAAAAAATAAAGATGAAGAGTAAGCGTGTAACTGACTTTTCGGGACAAGTTCAGGGAGGATTTATGTCTTTTCCCACTGAATAATACCATACATA